TGGGGCAGGATCCAACTGGCACTCAAGCAGCCATGGCTTGCTTTAGCTTCGCAGTGCAGTTCTGCAGCCTGCTGCGCCACCAGGAAAGGGCCTAGGTTTACTTCTTGTGCGAGTTAATAGTGCATTAAATTTATTATGTCCACAGCTCAAAAAGAAAGGTCTTTCATTAATTCTTGGATGATTAAATATAAAGAGAGACTCAAGGTTTTGGAGGCATGCCCCTGCTTCCTATGAAAGCATCAGAGAGAACTGTGGTGACAGCACATCCATGATGCTCTCTGAGAGAAAATATTAGGTAATTCTGAGGTCCTCAGAGATGACTAATGTGGGCAGCTGGGGAGGCTGACGAAGTGTTGGATTTGGTCTGTGACAGGTGAAGACAAAGCTCCTGAACAGGGAGGACTGTCAGATGGGTACCTAAATATATTTTTCTCAGACTTTCTCAGCGAAAGTCTGGAGTACATATTTGGAAGAGGTTATGAGGAGAGAAAGTGATGAATGCAGATAGCTGTGGTACATTAATGAAGCATAAAATTGGAAAGAGATGTTAACTTGTCAAGAAGGCGTGAATGAAAAGACAAAAGGATAGATGGAGCAATAACAGCCCGGGTGGGGGGTTAGGTATTATAGCAAGGGAAGCTGGATGGCAGGCGACAGGTCCCGGAACAGGAGGATGAAAAGGCACTTTCTTGTTGCTGGTGACACCGAGCACTATCAAGTTTGGGGACATATCTGTCTCACATGTGTGAGTACAAGATTGAAAATGAGCAGAGGATATAGTGGTCACCACACAGAAGAGAACTGAAGGTATTTTAGTCAGGAGAAAAGTAATAAGCTAAAGAAGAAATGCACAGCAATGTTAGAATGGGAGACAGGAGAAGGGGAAGGAAACCAAGGTCTCTTTGTTTCTAGTAAATGTTTTACAACTACTAGAAATGAAGGAGAAACTTTTGGTACAAATAAGGTTAGGTTTAAAATCTAATCTCCCTTTACCTCAATTAAAATCATAAAAAAATTGGGGTGGGGGCCTGGCCTCCCTGGTGGCCTAGGATTAAATCTAAGTACTGTCACCACTGTGGCCTGAGTTCAATTCCTGGCCAAGGAGTAACCCACAGCAGGCCTCTCCTGTCTCTCTTTCTGCTGCCCTTAGCTGCAACCCGCCTGCTCTGCTCCCCACTCTCTCACCCTCTTACCCTCTGCACCTCTGGCTTATACCTCAGTTCTTCTGTGCAAAAATAAAAATAAATATTTTTTAAAAAATAGGATAGTTTCACTGTTGCCCACACAGCCTCAAATCTATGAAGATATAGTAAGGTTATAGAGACTTAGGTGATTGGTGATATGGACAGAGAGGAATTGGGGCTCCCCCTGCACCCAATTTACCACTAGTTATTTGATAGTTATCTTAAAGGCCCCACAAGTTGAATTCTCCCATACATTTGCTTGTGGGCTTTTCTTGTAATTCTATTTTTTTTTTTTAGTGTAATTCAATAGTAGTTGAATTTGTGAATTACGATACAGGGCAGTAAATGCAAAACTATGTATCCCATACTTTATGGGTGATTTAAGAGATTTTTCAGATCATTTTTTGCCTAACTTGTTGATTTTATTACCCATTTGTTTATTTTATAATTTGAGATTTGACTCTACTTAAGATAAATTGTTAGAAATATAAATGGGGCTTCTCATGTCACCTGAAAAACAGAATTAGAAAACTTACTGTGTTTAAATGCATCTCAACCTTCTCTAATTGGTATATAGTAGGTACTTAATTTATTTACCCTGGCCAAAAGTCCTATAAACATACAGATATCCTTTGTTTGCATATTCTTTTTAAAAAAGATTTATTTATGCACACAGAGCTGGGGTACAGGCCAGAGGCAGGGGCAGTGACAGGATTCACCAGAGACAGAGTAGAGAGCAGAATAGGCCTACAGAGGAAGTACACTGCTGAGGAGAGCAGTGGGCGGGTCAGGAGAGGTCTTCTGTGCCATGTGGGTCACCTCCGGGGTGGAAATTAAGCTCGCACTGAGGCAGCTGCAGCTAGCTTGTAGTGCTGTGTCCTAACCCATTGTGCCACCAGGGAGGGCCCCATCCTTTACATATTCTGTGGAAGATGGACTCCCATTATTAATCAATTAGATCTATTTATTAATAAAAACAAAGCAGGTCTAAGATAGAAATTAGAGAATTTGAGATGTAACCCATTGAAGAGTCAAGAGATTCTCCAGAAAGAGCAGTGAGTTTGTTTACAGTGGTTTATAGCCTTTGAGAGATGACTGAGGATGTAGTGACTAAAAGAGTGAGGTGAGCGAAAAGCACATGGTGTGGGAGACAATCCTGAGTGTCAATGTTTGGGAGACAAGATAAGGTTGGATTAGGAGTCCAGGAGAGACTGGGGACCAAGTGAAGAAGGGTCCCTAGGTTGACTGTATGAATTGTGTCCCACATAGGGACCTTGATGGCTGAAGGGAAGAGGCTGGAGTTGAAAGCCCAGCCTTGTGTCTTGGCCTGTTCCACTTGTGCAACCCTGTGATGTGGGGGTTGGAGTTGGAGTAGGCGTTGCTTTTTCCTAACATGCTCCAAGGCCAGCGGTGATGGGAGGGTGGGGAAGTCTGCTTCATGCACTATATTTTACAAGTTTTTTTTTTTAAAGATTTATTTATTTATTCATACAGAACTGGGGTACAGGCCAGAGGCTCAGGGGCGGTGAGAGGCTTCACCAGGGACAGAGTGGGGAGCAGAACAGGCAGATCGACGAAGTACACTGCTGAGGGGAGCAGCGGGTGGGTCAGGAGAGGTCTGCCGTGCCATGTGGGTCTCCTCCGGGGCAGGTGGGGATCGAACTCATGGGGAAGTGGCTTAAGCTTCTTAGTGCAGTGCTTTAACCTGCTGCGCCACCAGGGAGGGCCATATTTTACAAGTTTAAGGATCAGTTGTTTTAATAAAATAGCATGGTTTAGAAATGGTGATGAGGTGGCTAACATTTTAATTAAAAAAATTATTTATGCATTGCATGCATACAGAACTGGAGTCCATTCACCAGAGACAGTGGGGAGCAGAACAGGCAGATGCATTGAAAAACACTGCTGAGGGCAGCAGCGAGGGAGACAGGAGAGGTCTGCTGTGCCACGTGGGTCAGTTCCCTGACTAGGAATCAAACTCTGCTGCAGTGGCTGGTGATAGCTTGCTGGTGCTGAGACTTAACCTTTTTGCCACCAGGGAGGCCCACATTTTAATTTTTAACTCAATTTATTCCTTTCTCTGGATGCCCCGTTTTCTGTCGCTGCTGGAGGAGGATGAATAGCATTCAAGCAGGTATTTAGTTCTCTGAGATTTCCCTAATTAAGAAACAGAAGAGGTGGGGCAGGCAGAGTATCAAAAGGGGTGATGAATTACTCTGGCTTTTGTTCCACCCAAAGTGTAAGCATGCAGGGGAGGGGACTTGCTGGCACAGATAAAATGCAGTGGGAAGTTTAGGGGAAGCAGCAGATCTCCTTGTGTTGTGGGAGAGAGAATGAGAGACTGATTTGTACATTGTGTAAATGTTGACTGCAGAAGGGACACTTAAGCCCGTGACCTGGCAGCTACTGAAAGGAGGCAATAGCCTTGCAGTGTATCTGGGACCATGGTACCAAGGTAGCTTTACAGATGGTGCCAAGCCCAAATTCTGCTACCCACAAAAAGCACCAACACCACTGATGACAAACTAGCAAGGCCTGATTCCCACTTGAACTTGGGAACATTTGAACATTTTTTTTAGGATGAGAGATGAGTCTCAGGGAAGGCTGATATGAAATTTTATTCTGCAGATGGGGACTTAAAAAGTAAGATCAGGGCCCTCCCTGGTGGCGCAGCGGGTTAAAGCACAGCACTGAGAAGCTAAAGCCACTTCCGCATGAGTTCGATTCCCGCCTGCCCTGGAGGAGACCACATGGCGTGTCAGACCTCTCCTGACCCGCCCGCTGCTCCCCTCAGCAGTGTACTTCGTTGATCTGCCTGTTCTGCTCCCCACTCTGTCTCTGGTGAAGCCTCTCGCCGCCCCTGCACCTCTGGCCTGTACCCCAGTTCTGTATGCATGAATAAATAAATCTTTAAAAAAAAAAAAGTAAGATCAAAGGAAAAACAAATTATGTGGTGTATATAATTCTCAGATGTATACACACTACTGCTGCTGCTGTTAAGTGAAGCCATGAAAATGGCGCTATCAGAGCCCTGGTTTCTGGCCTCCCATGGGTCAGGCACTGTGCAAAGCACATGCACCCCCGCTGGCTAATGGTGTCTTCTGGCATCCCAGCTGTGAGCGGAACGTGTCTCAAAGGCACAGAGAGTTGGTAGAGAGACTGTCTGTCAGCATCCTGTTTTTGTTATCAGTGACATGGACCTAAGCTCAGGGACAAAGGGAATACACCAGGGTTCTCAGACGGTTAAGGAAAAATAAAAAGACTCAGTCCTATACAGCGCTGGGTCTGTCTTATTACAGAAACAGAGTCTATAAATAATACTGATACCAGAGGAAAAGCCCACTTGTCGCTAAAGCAAAAAGAGGAAATTCTAAGACAATATGAGAATTCCTACATTAGAGGAAAATGTGATACTGATCTGTCCCACAATAGATTTACAGAATCCAACTAAGACAACAAGCGTCTCACTCCTGTATCAGAGGCCTCTATTCAGATAGGTAAGGGTTCTGTAGTCTATGGTAAATTTAGATTAAAAACAAACCAACCTTTAGAAAGGTAGATTATTTTCACCAGCCTATATCCTTCTGCCACAACTCACCTGGGCACTGAAATCATTTCTGTGCCTACCTAGAGTTCAGCTTATATGCAAATGTATATGCAGCCACACACAATTACTAACAGTCAGCTCCAAAATTCCCACCCAAGTTCGGGCAAACAAAAAGACTGATTTTTTTTTTCAAAGACTCAGGCTTGACTTAACTATAGTATTCAAGGCTTTGGCTACATGGTGAGCTCCAACTCACAGGACCAGGTTACCTGGTTAGGATCAGCGTCAACTTCGTCCCAGTTGTGGGTCACGTGACCTTGATCAGTGGACGCGAAGGGCTTGTGAGAAACTGAAGGGAGAATCCTATACAGCCAGCTGGGGGGAAACAAGGACACAGAGGCCTTAGGGTGAGGCACAGACTGACTCAGGACACAGCATGGAGAAAAGGCTCGAGTACACAGCCTCTGTGGGCTTTAACGTGAGCAGCAGTGACGAGCATCACTTCTGAACAGTCACTTCTGCACTCAGTCCTGGCTTCTTCTCACCTCTCCACTCCATTCTACACTCTGAATTGAAACTCTTGGTTAGTCCCATGTTGACAAAAAAAAAAAAAGACGAATTGTTGTTCCCAGTGACATCTACAAAGGGAGGGGGAGTACCTCGAGGGAAATTGTGCAGGAAAATCTATAGAAAAACAACAGCCTGTGTACATCAGCAGATACTAATTCTTGTTCTGGAAGGTGAGGTAGGAAATCCTAAGTATATTGAAAGAATGTGGTGGTTTGTCACTTTTAAGTACAAATAAATTTTGTTCTCTAAAATTACAAAAGTAATGTAACTGATGAAAAAAGTCCTGACAGGTAGACAGGTTTTTCTCTTCCATTTTCTTCAGGGTCATTCCTCATAGGCATTAGAGTTTAACAACTTTCTTGCAGATTGTCTCAGATTTTTTCCAATGTGTACATATGTAATAAAAATTGCCAAGTCACTAGACAGTTTATTTTCACACTCATCATATGTGAAAGTGTCTGAACAGTCACATCTTCATGTAGGGGGTGTTTTTAATAATTTTGGACTCACAAGTGAAAAAATAGTACTTTTAAAGTATTTTTTAAGTAGTCTTAAGTATTTCTGTATTTTCTTTAAGGTTAAGAATCTGTTGTTTGTTGGCCCTCTGTCATTTTTTTTATGCATTACTTGTCCAAGACTTTTACCATTTTACTAGTGAGTTATTTGCCTTTTTGATATTAGTTTGCAAGACCTTTAAAATTTAATACTTCCTGCACTCCAAAATTATAAGACTACCTGTCCGTGCTTTCTTATGGTAAATTTATGTTTTTGCTTTCCCTTCCTTCCTCCCTCCCTTTCTTTTTTGCATTTTACTATTTGTATATGTTAAGACTTGAGCCAAACACTTCCCTGCCAGGACTCAGATCTCAGGCTTAAGGATGAGAAGTTTCTGATGAAGGAAGCCAGGAGTAGCCCTCCCCAAATTGAAAGGATCACTGAAATGTATGAAGAGGCCCCCAAGTCTTTTCTGAGGTCATTATCCTGAGAGAGTATAGAGGAAGAGGAACCTGCTTTTAACAAGGGAAGGACCAGATTCGTCTTAGCAGGCTTTGGCCATTTAAATTCGAGAACAGACTACTTCAGTGCTGGCCCAGCACAGTATCTACCATTGGGGAGCGAGAGATGAGCTCGGAGTATCAGTTTCCATTTTCTTCCTCTAGTTCTAGCTGACTGGCTTCAGACCTTAGACATCAGTATATAGCACACCAAGCCTTCTAGTTCCTCATAGTGTATAGAGATGTGAGCACGTAGCAAATGTGTGTTGGAAACACCTGTGTGATTCTGGCTAAGTCACACAACTTGCCTTAGTCTTATATCCTAGGATTGTTATGAAGATGCAGGGTTTCTGGCCCTAAAATGGGGTAGCTATTTACTGGTGAGACTTGTGTTGAGTTGTCTGTCTACTCCTTAATTATGTGGGTTTTTGTGATGACCCAAATTTTCCAACATTTCTGTCCTGACTCTAACCTTCAGAGAGGGTCAGCTAAAGGATCAGAATCTTCATCTGATAAAAATTAATCCCTGATAGATATATGGATAGATATCCCTGATAGCTTTGTGGGAGCTCTGAGATTTAAATGAGTAATGTTAAACTAAGAATTCAAGATATGCCTGATATGGATGGGACTTGTTCCATCTTTCCACGGGGGATGTTGAACATTTTCACAAAATTCTTGTAGATACCTTTGGAGCGTTTAAGCAGATGGGTGAGCTATGTCTAGTATCCCTTGTTTTTAGCTGAGTTGATAAAACTCCCCAGGCAGCACTACCTTGCCCTGGACAGAGATTTAATTCTGACTCAGGGACTGGTGCCAACTTCTTAATGAAATGCCAACAGCTCCTTTTCAGCCTTCTGGAACAGAGCTGAGCTCCTGCTGGCTGAAGATATTGTTGAATAATGGGGGCAGGCAGCAGAATCTGGAGTCCAGGTGTCCTGATAGTGAGAGGGACATAAAGGCAAGAACACAGTCATGGAGGCCAGGTTGCCAAAAATTAGGATGGACAGGAATTGTCTGTGTGCTTAACTTACCTTTGGTTATGTGGGATATCAGAGATATAAATAGAGATAATTAAACAGCAATAGAGTTAGCCCGTGACTTTTAACAAGTATAGAAAATTATCTCTGTCTCCCTCCCTCCATGCCTGTCTCACCTGAGAGTAAACATTATTGATATTGAAAAGCATAACAGGGCTGGCCCTCCCTGGTGACACAATGGGTTAGGACACAGCACTGCAAGCTAGCAACAGCCGCTTCAGTGCGAGTTCGATCCCTGGCCTTGGAGGTGACCCACATGGCACCTCAGACCTCTCCTGACCCGCCCGCTGCTCCTCTCAGCAGTGTACTTTGTTGATCTGCCTGTTCTGCTCTCCACTCTGTCTCTGGTGAAGCCTCTCACTGCCCCTAGTTCTATATGTATAAATAAATAAATCTTGAAAAAAGAAAAAAAGAAAAGAAAAGTGTAACATAACCCCAGCCACATCTCACACTCAGTTCTTGGATAACCTCTTAGGGGCCTTGGAGGCAGAAGCTCTGCTGTGGTGCCAATAGTGATGATGATAATAATTATTATTAATTGATCATGATGATTATAATAATTAATATTGATTATTCACTAGGTGCCAGGCAGTGTGCTAACCACTTTACTTACATCCTTTCCTTTAAGCCTCACAACTATGGAATCAGTGCTATTATTATCTATTTTACAAATGAGGAACCAGAGACTCTGAATGGGCAGTGACGGCCCCAAAATCACACAGATGGAAAGAAGAGAAGTCAGGATTTAAACTAAGCAGCCTGACTCCAAGGTGGTCAGTGCAATCATTAAGAGAAACATTTGTATGGCCCCTTGTACTTTCGTACTATCAGAGTTGCTCAGGAGGAATCTGTAGTGATAAATGCTGTCCCTCCTACCAGGCAGTGAAGATTGCCTGCCTCCTCCATAAGTCTCCTTCCTACGTGGGGATGTCTGCAGCAACCCTCTTCACATGCCCTCACCTGAAATTCCTGAAGTGAGATACAATTTGTTTGTCTCCATGCTTACTGGGTTTTTCCTAAGCCACACCATCTACTGCATCCAACCTGGAAGAGTTAATCACTGAATCCAACCTGGAAGAGTTAGACATCCAACCCTTAAGAGTTAATCAAGGGAGTTCATTGACCTGGTTTGTAGGATTAGAGTAAACATGAAACATGACACACTGTGCTAATAAATATGTAGATTTTTGGCAAAGGCAAATTCTACAGAGTAAAAAAAACCTCATTAATTCAAACCACAAGGGGCCAGAATACACGACCTTTCAACTACTCAGGCTTAGAATATCCAACATTTTTATGCAACGAGCATAATGTCTCTAGTTATGGGAACACACTACACTGAATCTTCTATACTCTTGAGTTAGTGGCTATTTACAAAAATAAACAAGTAAACCAGGGAAAGCCAGATTTTGGGAAAAATTTTCCATTGAGTATAGGTGAGAATTTGTCAATGGAACTGGACACATGTGTTTTCCAGGCTCCAGGCAGCTGCTCTCTCACCTTCCTCCTTGGTTCACTTGACTCTCACTGGTTCTAACCTGATTCTCACTTGATTCTATTTCAGTTTCTTTAGACTTTGACCAAGAACACAGCTTGGGAGGGCAGGACCCAGGCAGCACTGGGAAGATATGGTAGGGAGGCAGTACCCACACTCAGACCGGTCCTCCATCTCAGGTCAGATTCATCTAATCCTGTACCTTCTCTTGTTGCTGCTCCGAGGACAAGTGAAAGCCGATCCTGAGAGCTGCTCAGCGTACAGATTGTAAGGGCAGACTTGAGGGTTGTTCTAAAACAAAAGAGGCAATAAATACCATCATTCCTGTCACAAAACACCCCACCTTCCCACTAAGCAGCTCAGTGGGAAATGCTGTCCGGGGTGTGATGTTCTGGGCAATAGCTCATCACCAACCCATATATTCTCCTTGTAAAAACTTTAGCTGACAGGCCTGGTGGTACAACTGGTTAAAACAACACTGAAGCTGTGTGCAAACACTGCAGCACCGAGTTCCGTCCCCGGCCAGGGAGGTGACCCACATGGCACAGCAGACCTCTCCTGACATGCCCACTGCTCTCTCAGGAGTATATTTCAGTTCAGCTGCCTGCTCTGTTCCCCACTCTGTCTCTGGTGAATCCTTTCAGACCCTCACCACCCCCTTGGCCTGTACCTGTACTTCTAAAGAAATAACTTTAGCTGGCTTCCACTCCCATTATAAAAATAGCATATGCTAATTATAGAAAATTTGTCAAGTAGATACCACCCATTATCTCACTATATGAGAATAACACAATAGAAATAACCCAGTGCTGACATGTCAGTAGATTTCCTTATAACTTTATCCTCCAAAATGGGGATCTTATGGTATTTGCAGCCCTGGAATAATGAAGACTTTTCCTTAGAGGAAACACAATGTTCTGAGGATTTTTTAATACCATGAAATACCTCAAATTTTTTTGAAAAAACATCTGTTGTGTTTTTATTGTTATATCCAACACTAGTATGAACATCGTTGTGCATTCTTCTTTTTAAAGACTTAATTTTCTCATCATTGTCCTCACTTATGCTATTCATAAAATCATAAGATCTCAGGAGGATTCCTGACCTTGGGGTCCTCCTAAAAGTCCCTCAGTTTCACTGTTTGTGGTTGGGTGTTGTGCTCTAAGTAACCACCATTTGACTAATCTTTGTGTAGTTCAGGTGGTCTGGTGGTTGGAGAACCATGAGAACCACACCTAAGGGAGAAATCAAATACTATCCAAAAATTAACAAAGATGTAAGAAAATAAATTAAAAATACATATTTGTGTTGTCAGTGTTCTGTAGCCTAATTATCTTAATGATTTGTAGAATTCCTACAAAATTCAGAGGTTAATTGTAAAAGCTACCATGGGAACAGTCACTTTGTTCTAAGAGTTTACTCTCAGGTCAGCAATTCAGAGCTCTCAAGTTAATACTTGATTCACTTATACCTGTCCTTCTGGCAGGGCACCTGGGCATCGAGGGTCCTCGGAGGCACATTCATTCCCAAATCCGGAAATGTACTGCATGTGACAAAGACAGAGATGCTGCCATTAATAGGTTTCAAAGAACATTTCATAGCAGTGGCAATCTACAAAAGCTAAGGAGTTCTATATGGACACGTGTTGGAGTCTGATCCATGCATAAAACCTCTGCTATGTCTTGGTATGTGCACCATTTTGGAAAGACAATTTCTGTGTAAGTTGTAAAGACCAGCAAAGAACTGGGAGAAAGTTACTAGATGCTGCTTAAACTCTCCACCTTCACTGTACTTGGCCCATGGATGGGCTTGTTCTTCATTATCTATCCCAATCCAACAAAGTTCCTTTAATTCTGGCTCCATCTGGGAGTTCTGGAGAAGGGAGATGGCTCAGGTGTCACCTCAACTCCAGATTAGTAGGATCTTGCAGGACCTAGACCAAAACCTCTCTGAGTTTGGAGCTTCATTTTTCCTCCATACTCAGAAACAAGTGGTAATAAAGAAGCATGCTGGAGCCAGCTGAGAGTGAAACCCTTGAGGTAAAGTGTTCTCACTATTCTCACTTCAGGCAGTCGCCTACATTTTCTGACTCATCTATTGAGCAGTGTGTGTGTGTGTGTGTGTTTGTGTGTATTGATGCAGGAAAATGAAGTTCAAAAATATGGGTGGCTTTCAGTGAAGTACTAGACCATAATCTGTCCACAATAATATAACAAAACCTATTCTGATTGCCATCTCTTTACACCCAGGAGAAAAAGTTAGGGGTTTCACATGAAGTAAAGTAGTGTTAAATGATGTGTTACATTTGCAACGCTTCACCTGCTCACTGTTTGGCTTTGCTGATAGCTGATAAGCCTGGGGCTATGGTGGTTTGGTTTATTGCTACCCGCCCTGCATGGTCATTGCAGGTTCTTGATAAATAGTTACTGTTTGATTTAGGTTTTTACATAGAACTGTTCTAATATGAGTGTATATATGCTGCTTTCATTTAACTTAAATAAATATTAAATATTCCTCTCATAGTTTTTCTTAATAAATGTACTTAATTTTAGCCCAGGATAATGAAAATGCAGCCTCAGTAAGTGAAATGCCATCATCTGAGCACACATCTTTAAGAGATATAAGAAGGATGTAAGTGGGTGGGGGGGCTGAGCCCTTCAGACCACAGCAGCACAGAGAAGGATGAGTTTGATGCAACATGCCTGGGTGTGAGAGCAATGATCAGGCTGGTGGCTCTCTATAGTGGAGAAGGAATATCAATGTGAAATGTTATGACCTAGAAAGGAATGGAAGTGAAATTATTCTTATTGCCTCCAGACACTTTTTTTTTTTTGGTATATTTGAAAATCTATCAGCACTGAAAACATGAAGTAATATTATAACCAGTTTGGTTAATAGTCGTGACATGCAGTTTGGAATGACTTTTTTGGGGGAATGGCTGACTTTCCCCAGCATCCAGCCTCTCCACTGAAAACAAATTTCTTCTCTTGAAATGAAACTCATGCTCACCGTCAACAAGATTAAATTTGAGCTCAGAAATGGTAATGACCCCAAATTATCTGTGCAATGGAATTTTAGACCAATCTGTGAGGAGTATTTACAGTGCCTTCACTTTGTCTAACTGCCACATTGTTTTTTTTCATCCTTAAAGGGAAGGATGTTTTCACTGCTAAGAAATACAGCTGAGCATTCTGGCTGGCATGCCTGGACACTCATTAACCTTCCCTAATCTTTGCAAAATGCTGGCCTCCAAGGTCATACATAGTTTGGAGCAAGGATAAAGAGAGTTTGTATATATGACTATGAAGCATTTAATTCAGACTATTAAAAAAAAATAGAAAGAACAGCTGGTAGTTTGGAAAGGAGCCATTTAGCTCCAGGAGAGGTGTGAATTCTGAATCAGTTTCACAATCTCAGCCAGTTGTATTTGCTGAAGAGGAGGGTGAAAATTGCTGAGTCACTTTGAAGTCAGTTGGTTTTCCTATTCTCTGAGAGAAAAGTATAAATGAGCTTACTAGAGCCTTATAATACCATGTCCCTCACTGCTGGAGGTATCCAAATTGAGAAAGTGGTATTCTATAGCTGCTTTCCCAAGGCTTTGAGATCAAGGATAAAATCTGAACTGTTTATTTCAATGGTGAAAATCCAAGTATTCAGGCCCTGCTGATTTCAGTGATTATGTTCAAATATAACTACTATAAAAAATGATAGTCTCTCACAAAGCACTTGTTTCCAGGTGAATTATATATATATATATATATATATATATATATCCTTTCTAAATGAAAGAACAAATTACTGAGAACCATGTAAGTTCAGCATCACTGGTTCTTTGGTAGCTCCTTAAATATAGTTTTTGATTTTCACCTGGTCCCCAAGATATGATTTATTGTCAGAGTAGTTTTATGAGGTGTTTTCTCTTGACTTTGACTCTAGGTAACACTTATGGTATGAACAGAGGTCACCTAACTTCCTTTTACTGGACATGAAGGAAACAGAAAAGTCAGGGTAGAGATGGAACTACAGTTCCCTGCTTTCCTATGGAAAGAGCCCAGTATTTTCAGTTATCTTTGTTGGGAATATAGAATAGAGATTCTTAGAAGAATTTGCAGAATAGCAAAATCAGTCTTGTAGACTGAAAAATGACCCTGCAAAAAGATGACCCTCCAAAGGTATCCTCCCTGGAATTTGTATTATCTTATAGTAAATGAGCTTATCACATGTGACTAAGGATCTGGGGAGATGGCCTTGATTATTTGGGAGTGCCCTAGAGTAACCATAGTGTCCTTAAATGAGGGAAGTACATTTGATTACAGATAAAGTGCATGATGACAGAAGCAGAGGTCAGAGCCAAACACTTTGAAGATAGGGAATGGGCAAGTCTGGAATGCAGGCAAGCTCTAAAAGTTGGAAAAGACAGGCAAATGAGTCCAAAAGGAATTAGCCTTGCCAACACCTTGACTGATTTAGATTGCTGACTTTTAGAACCATAAATGAACAAATTTGTCTTTTAGGCCACAACATTTGTGACAAATTGCTTATAGCAGAAATAGGAACGTAATAGAATAATCTCGTAGGCCAGTGGGACCCATCTCTGGTTAATGGTTAGAATCAACCCAGGAGCATTAAATGCAAGTCCAAACCCAGTGAATCGTTGCAATGTTCTCCCCTCACCCCCTTGTGCTGCTTTTCTTATAAATGTAATTTAAGGCTTTGTGTTGACATATTCACTAAAATGAAGAAATAAAAGCTGAGAAATATTCTTTATCTTATGTAATGTTTATTGATTAGAATGATGCAATCTGGGTTTCTGGGTTTGGATTCCTGATCTCCAGAGCTAACCTTTCCTTGTGAAGATTAGACAGCCAGCTGGGAAGAATGCCTTTGAAAGTGAGAACAAAGGCCAGCATGCAATTTACATTGGTGTGTTGGTACTGTGCATAATAAGTTGCTTGAAATTTTCAGCAAGATAGCATTTTAGATATAATTTATTTATAAATGGTAAGGATACATTCAACTCCTACTGAACTCCCCCCCACCCCCAACCACTAAGATTCTGATCAGGAAAACAAATTTTTATGCACTGTCTTTCTGTTCCAATACTTCAACTACCACCCTGGGGTGACCTCCCATCCTTTCTCCTAGCCTACCCCCCCCATTCGTCCATCCAACTACCTCCTCAGGGTCTCCACTTGGCTGTCCCTGCGGCAACTCAAATTTAGCTGAAACACCTTTGGACCCAGAATGTGCTGGCCTTCTGCGTGTGCTGTGCCTTTGTACACCCTGTTCCCTCTGGCCCCATCTCTTTTCCCATAGCTAACTTCTGTTTCTCTCTTAAGAGTCAGCTCAGGAACAGCCTCCTTCTTCAGGAAGTTTTTTTTTTAACCCTACCTGCCCCAGGTTCAGTTCCTCTCCTATATTAATCTACAGCATCGTGTACTGACATAGTATCTGATGAAAGAATGAGAGTTTCTGAGCTTTTCTAACTCTCTATCAGGCATAAAGATAAGTAAAACTTCTACTCCAGTATCAAGTGTTTTCAGGATCGCTGTCTGTTAAGGAGCTGCGTGATTCTTCAATCTCAGCATCAGCTGAAGGGCCTTCTCTAAGTGCTCACAGCCTGTATTACTAAAAGAACACTGCAGTCTGACCCACATTGAGACAAGGTTCTGGGCAATTCTATTCAGTCTCACAAGATGTGCTGGCATCGATGCACGCCTGTGATGGACCGTAGGCACCATTTTAGACTCTGGGACATGCTCTCTTTCCTTGGCTTTGCAACACTTAGTCCAGTAGATGCCGCCATGGATCTCTTAGAGCCTAGGCTTTCGATTCCAACAACCCTCGAATGAGTCAAGTTTCTATCACCTATCAGTAGTGACCTTAGCAAAACAAACAAAAACAACCTCTTTTTTACTGATTCAATAAAAGCAGGAGTGTCAAATCTCAGATTTATTTTGAAGAGTATGAGTTAATTCATAGTTAAATTGTCTAGCACTTAGTAGCACATAGCCCACACACTTCTTCATTATAACTTAATAATATAAAATAATTATTTCTGAGAGGAGATGCTAGGTTTTCTACTGGCCAACAGCTAATTGGAACCTCAAAATAAGCTAGTAGATTTAGCATATCTAATTGGCTGATGGTAAGCCAATTAGGAAGCTGCAACAGTAGGAACATGCTAGAGAGTAGAGGTTGGGAGACAGACTCAGTGAAAAATGTGCTGATGTGGGGCAGATTTTATGATGCCTACACATTCCCAAGATCATATTAAATGAATAAGGGTAAGAGATGAACAGCAGCTTTATCTACTTATCACTTCTCTGCCCCAGCCCTGTGTCTTCATCACGTTGAAGCCTCTGAACACAGGATTTTGAATGAAAGTCCCTCACAGTCCTTCTGACACCTTGAGAATCTCAGAAATAGCCACAAGTTTCTGGCTGAAGAAGCCACAGCAAATTTAGCAAGTACTTTACCTTCAACTCTGCCATTATTCTTCTGCTGCAAGGATGATGAGTTCAGGAAAGCCAGCCACAAATGCTCTGCCTCTTCTTCAGACCACTGTCCAGCGGCTGTTATTCCCACAGCTTTCTGTGCTCACTGATCAGCAGGTCATTCAAATTGGTCACAGAATTGCCCAACTGATAAACTGGGGGGAAAGTTCAAAATGCTTATTTCTCAACTGCTTACACAATTGCCTTTGGTTTTGACTAAGTCTGGGCTTTTCCTAAAAGAATATCAGGGGCCTATCTCTTCTTTATTTGAAATAAAGATTGGCAGATTATTTGTTCCAGCTAAAAGAAAGCCACTTAACACTAAAGGCAGAAGGTTTAAGTCTAGCTAGAAAAGGTATGGTGGTAGGTAGACCTGCTCTGTGCAGAGGCTTCTTCAATCTTGACACGGATGGGAAGGAACAGAACAGCATGTTCATCTTCTTAAGAGCAGTGGGAAAATGAGTTGTTCTTTGATATGGATGACTGATTACACACAACTGTCTGAAATGGGAACCGGTCTATGCAGCTCTCCATGTGTGCCTTCCAGGGATGAACTGAACAGCTCTGAGGAGCCTGAGGCACTTCTTTAAAGCAAACAGATATTTAACACGGTTCCTCTTAGTTTCTTACATATATCTAGTAGTCTTGTAAACTCTTAAGAATCTTGGGGACTCCCTGGTGGTGCAAGGGGTTATGTCTCATCACTATGAGATTTTCTGCAGCAACTGCAGCATGGGTTCAATTTCAAGCCAGGGAGGTGACCCACATGGCCCAGCAGACCTTTCTTGTTTCGCCTACTACTCCCCTCAGCAGTGTATTTTGATTCATCTGCTTGTTCTATCCCCCATTCTGTCTCTGATGAATCCTTATACCCCCTGCACCTCTGGCTCATACCCCAGTTCTTGTATGCATAAATAAATAAATCTCAAAACAACAGCAACAACAACAAAAACCTTTTCTAATGCCTTCATTCCTCTGAACAAAGGGTTACTTTCCCACAACCTTTTCCCTGACTCTCTTGTCCTTCATCTTGGCAACTCTCCTCAGCCATGGTCAGGTATCAACTTTGTAGTTAATGGTATTTAAGAAGGAAGAAAGGGTGTATTGAGGGTCTGTTTGTACCATATCTTCCCACATTCATGTCCTCATTTAATTTCACAAGTTAATCTTGCAAATTAGGCTTTATTATCCCAAACTCAAAGATATGTAAAGGTGTAAAGAAAGCTGATTTTTCAAGATAAGGCTGTTACATGAAACTTGAGTGTTTAAACATTGGCCACTAGAATGAATGGACAAACCATTATGGTGGGTTGGAAAAAAAATGTTCATAAATTTCTCCATCCTTGTATGCCTGTCCCTTTGCAATGTGACTTTGCTGCCCTTCCCATCTGAGATGGAGCCTTTTTCTTACCTCCTTGAATCTGACTAACATCAAACACAAGTAGAGATGTGAAAAGTACTTGTGCCTTAGGATTTGTCCCTATCTGGCTGCTTGAGACCACCATGCAAAGATGCCAGTATAGCTTCCTTGAGAATGATAGACCACATGGATAAAGGGCCAATGATAGCCAGGTGTGAATGAAAGAAGCAACCTCATTGCAGGTGACAGCAGCCACGAGTCCCCTGAGAGACCAGCAGCACAAACAGCAGCTAACCTAGCTTAAACTGCGGACCCACAGAATTGTGAATGAATAGAATGGTTTATTTCATGTTATTACATTTGAGGTATTTTGTACATGGTGATAGGTATTTGATGCAATTAGGTAAAAAATCATGCAAAGCAGGTTTGAGAGGGCTATGAACTTCCTGTTTGAAACTCTCTGTTTGAAACCTCATTAGACCTTCTAAATGGGTCCAAGTGATCACCAAAGGTCCCCAGGCTCCAGCACACAGCACAGCTGAATAATTTGCCTGTGTGAGAGATGTTAACCAAGAGGAGCAGACCAAAGGGGCCATGTCATTGTCAATGAATGACAGGTTGGTAGCAAGTTGAGCAGTGATAGCTGTGGACTAGGCAGTCGATAGGACATCTTATCCTCTGTCAGTGTAGACAGAGGATGTTGTAGTGTTCCATAGGCCTCCTAGACTTATAAACAGTCTGTGATGAAGAGGGGATGCAGACTACAATTTAAGTGATGGTAGGTTTTTATTATTTCTGTAATATGCACATCATAATCAAATGAATTCAAGAAAAATATTTCTTGCATATGTTAGTTTATAAGTACAATGATCTTAAATCTCTATTTTTTAAAGGTTTTTTAATTTATGTATACAGATTGGGGTACATGCAGAGATATGGGGTGGTGAGAGGATTCACCAGTGACAGAGCGGGGAGCAGGACAGATCAAAGAAGTACACTGATGACGGGAGCAACGGGCCGGTCAGGACAGGTCCGCCGTGTCATGTGGGTCACCTTCAGGGCAGGGATGAACTCATGCTGAGGTGGCTTTAGCTTCTTAGTGCTGTGCTTTAACCCGCTGCACCACCAGGGAGGGCCAATCTCTCTATATTTTAAAAGATTTATTTATTTATGCATATAGAACCTGGGTACAGGCCAGAAGTGCAGGGGCAGCGAAAGGCTTCACCAGAGACAGAGTGGGGAGCAGAACAGACCACTTGACAAAGTACACTGCTGAGGGGAACAGCAGACGGGTCAGGAGAGGTCTGCCGCGCCATGCGGGTCATCTCTGGGGTGCGGAATCAAACTCACACTGAAGCAGCTGCTTCTAGCTTGCAGTGCTGCGCTTTAACCCTGTTGTACTACCAGTGAGGACCCTTAAATCTCTATTGATCCTGGAAATTAAGTCTTGGGTGATTAGGACAAAAAAATGAAAGGGATCCAAGAAAAGACAGACACATTACTTATTTTTCCATAGAATCCATTTTGACGGCAGATTTAAGAGGTGTTTGTTCTTTTCAAGGGTGTGAGAGATTTACGAAAAAGCAAAAAGTGATAACAAATCCTTGACTGGATGAAAATTACTTTGAGGGGCGTGAAAACTTTAAACTTTAGGGATTTCTCTTAATAGACTGTGTATGTTGGTTTTCCGGTTTTTTGGTTTCAATTCAATAAAACAAGCATTTGCTTTAGCAGGGCAGAAATTCTTCCATATAAAATATAAAAGACTGCCTTAAAAATTATCCTAACCATTTTCCTTCTTATTACTAATATATTATGACTTTTTGACATTGTGCACCCTAAGTTTATACAAAGTCATATATCAATTAAATCTTAATATAGTTTGGGGGGATAATAAACTGTTGAAACCTAAGAACAAATAAAATACAGGCATAGTTGACTCTCTGTTAGCTTTTTAATTAATATAAGCCCAGACTCATTAATTCATTTTACAATAATTAAGGACCTGCTATGTGCCAGCCCTGAGAATACAGAGATGCCATTACAAGTACGCCACAGATGCTATTAACAGGGAAGTCGAGGGAGCTACAGGAGGGCTGGTGGGCACTTAGCCCTAACTGGGAAGGCCAGGGAAAGCTTTCCAGTATTGATGGGCATGGAACAGGGGGTAGAGTGTATTTAAAGGCAGAGAAATGGAAGGGCAATGTAGTGTTTAGGGCAACAGGCCTAAAATTGTAGAGGAAACTAGTGAGCAAGGGGGAACATTTAGAGAGTTTGAATAAGGGGCCTTCTGGACCTGGTGATTAACATTCAAAAAGCTTGTGCTCACAAGCACACAAAAAAGGCTGTGTGTAGGGGCAAAGCAACTGTCCTGGGGCAGTCAGTGTCACAGCAGCAACAGATGCTGACAAACAGGCAGAGGAAGATGGATTCAGTTTCCATGTAAGCGGAACATTCATTTGAAGTGAATTTGAAAGGGACCAGGAATTGGAGATAGCAGGTATCTGCCATACCCACATTCTAGCACCAGATAGGTTTACTCACTGCAGAAGCTCTGGAAGAAAAGTCAAAGAAGTTCGAGACTCTCAACCAGGAGGGGGGAGTAGGACCAAAACCAAGTATAATATATGGTGATGAAACCTGCAGCCTCACTTAGTGAGTTCCAGAATGCCATTGACAAATGCTTTGCCTTCCAGAAGGAAACTGGAATATTCTTTAGGACAGTGGCCCAGAAACACATTTTCATAAATGACTGTTACATATAAGAGGTAAAGTTATTACTGGAATTACACTTTTTATTTCAGTAGGTGCTCCCCCATTAATTCATAATTCATGAATCCTTATTTTCTAGATGGAAACAATTCAGCATCATTTAATAATTTCATTGTTGTTAAGATTTAGCATCATTTAGTGCTGTTGTTGGGATGTACAGGCCCAAGTATTGAGAAAATCTGTTCATGTGAGTAGGACCATTCACTCCTGATTAAAGTACCAAAAATCATATAGTAATTTATTATTAAATTCTTTCTTACCTATCATTTAACAATTCAATTAAGTTCTTAAATTTTGTTGCCAGCAAATAACTGGAAAAGGCTTTGTGAACCAGCTTTTGGAATCAACTTTATTACCTTTCACCTAGAGGTGCTTTGTCTAACTCATTAATTCATAAAGAGTTGGAAAACTAAAAAATGTTAATTTTATTCACCTCTGCTTATATAATTATTTTTGATAAAAATGTAAGTTCAGTGTTTTGCTAGACCAGTAGGAAGCCTTGCCATGGAAGAATATGCCAGCTTTAGATATATTTTCACAGATGTTCTTGGTTTTGTTCTTAGAATTCTTCCTTAGGAGCACGATGTTTTGTTGATTTTTAAATAATGTGGGAAAAGGAACAAAGTCTTTTAGTACAACTAATACCTTGAATTTCCCTTTTGTTGGTATTCTGAAAATATTTACATACTGTGGTGATATGACATCATACTGTGTACTAGTGTGAAGATACTCACTTTCAGTAGTAGATAAAAGGCAGTTGTGAAAGTAGAGGGTAGAAATAAAAACTAGCATTGGGCTGCTCATAAGCAGATGATTTTAATAGATACATACCTGTGGAGATTAATGATCTACAAAATGGTTGCCTTAAAGCTGTGTCCATGTGCCTCTTGGGTGGGGACACTTCTACCTATTCTAGTTGGGAGAACGACCATCACTGGGAGAAGAAAAGACTGTATCCAGGAAGTGGGGCTCGTTGTAGTGAAGGTGCATTTATGCTGGGCCCTGGAGTAATTACTGTGGAATGGAGTTAGACAGGAAATCCTGGAGAGGCCACCAAGAAAAGTGTGGTTCTCATGAACGTTTTATGAAGGTGGCCCTGAGATATTTTCTTAGGAAAAAACGATGCTTTAGAACACTTATTAAAGAATTCTGGTGAATAATATTTTGGCAAACAGTCTTATTTTGCTGCTAATATTTATAGCACCTTTACTCTAGGTTAAAATTACTTTTTGTAGAACACTGTAATTCAGGGAGTAAAGTCTGAGAACAAGAGGAAATAAATTTGAGGAGTACTGTTAAGTTTTCAAGGTCAGTCCTGAAGTCATCAATGATGGGTTACTTTTATTTTTTAATAAGAAAGAAAATTAAGATATTGGGGTTGGTCTTTTTTTTAGTTAAAAAGAACGAGGAGCAAAGGAAAGAGTCAATTAATTTATTTTTAAAAAGAGGAACATAAATACCTTTTGTTGGCATCAGTCTTTGGATATGCATTTAAAAAATTAAAAAATTTTCTTAACATCGTTGTTCATTTTGTATATGCACTTGGTTTGTACTTCCTAATTTCACAGCCTTGTCATCGCACACTTGTGCCAAGTTCTACATACAGATCCTAATACCTTATGTCAAAAAAGAAATCAGGGCTATGTCTTATAGGGGAGGATGCAAACAAACATTGGAGACTATTCTGGCACTAGAAAAAAATGCTTTAAACATCCTTTCCCATATTCCCAACACTGCTTTTCTAAAAGCACACTCTAACATTCTTAGTTTAGAATACCCTGATTTCCAAAGTACTTCTGAATTTAATTAAAATGGAATAGTAAGCAAACTTTTTGTTTTCCCCTTGGTTTTAAAATTAAAAAGAGTGCAAAGACCTGCAGTAGAACCAAGAGAAAAAAGATGGGTGAAAAAGTGTTGAATAAGGCTGCCAATTATAGTTTTTGGAAACTAGGTTTATATATTAAAATAAGAACTGGGGCAGAGAAAATTAAACAAGTAAGAAAGATGGATAAAAAAAGTACCAAGGAACAATTATGCATACACACATACACACACACACCCTGTCCCTACCCTCAATTTTGGACTATGAAGTGCAAGAATCCTAGACCATAATTCATGTAAATGTGATGCTGTGGTGCTTATTTTAACCTCTCTCCATAAATAGACTGTAGAAACAAAGAATAATATTCTTAGTTTACTGACTACAGTAAGGGGACATTTTAGGAATTGACTTTACCTTTCAAAAAAATAACTGAAGAGACTGTCTCTCTACTACCCTTGTACAGTAGATCTCACCCTACCTGTTTCCAAACAGAAAAGAGTAAAAGAGTGAGACAGTTGTAACCTGTAAAGAGTGAAGGATTTAGTGAGCTGTCAATTTCTCGCAGAATTCTTCTTTTCTGGTGCTGCTTTTCTCTATGTATTATTAATCTATTTATATTTAACTCCAGCTACTAGTCCGCCTCTTCTAGCCACTAAGACATTTGTAAAGAAGCGGGAAGAAGACAAGGGTTGCTATTATTAGTCATTCTTGTGTGTGATGAGGGTGGAGGAGATTAAATAACACAATTTTTCTTCTTTGAAAGTGACAGAGATTGTTTGGGGTGGACAACTCAGGGCTGCTTAACATAACCTTTCCCCTCAAGAAGGTAACATAATAGAGATGTGCTTTGTAAGTACTTAGTTAAATCTTCACCAATGAGTGTGGGAAAATCACAAAGCCATAAAAATCCACCAGTTCCAGGCAAGAGTAAGTTTTCTCTGCAGTTCTCTGTCACTAATCATTTACTGCACCAACTTGACAATATCTCATGTTTCCACAAGGCTTTTACATAACCTATACGCAGGAGCAGAAAGGTGAGGAACAAGGGGATGGGGGGCGCTGTCACCCCTCTCAGTTTTCCATTAAAGGAGGAGGCTGAAGGGCGTCATTTTAAGATGATTTTGATAAGACTGAGACATTAATAATCCCACAGCAAGAGGAAAGCTGTGAAAACTGCCACCGCTTGCTCACTCTTCCAAAGGATGAGTATAATTCAGTCATAATGAAGGCTCTTTAATGTTCCTCCTCCAAATCTTTTTCGATCAGGAAAGCCTGGAATCTGTAGACAAGAAAGATAATCATGTTAAATCTCAAGGAGGCAGAGATCAAATATTAATAGCCTAATAATTTCCCCCATATTTTCTGCTTGTCAGCCTGTTGCCCTTAAAGAATCACCATTCTGATTCCTCCCACCCCCCGTACCTCTGACCTGTACCCCAGCTCCTGTATGTATATTATTTAAAAAAAAAAAATAGAATCACCATTCTGAGATTTTACTCTGAAAATAAACTCTACTGAATGGAAAACTTTCACAAACTGGTGACAGCATCATCTGAATCAGGAGGACACTGTAACCTGTTAATATTCATCTATTGGACTTCTATGTGAATTATTGGAGTCTGGATATAGGCTGTTGGCATTTCAAGCAAATTATTTTATTTTTTAATGTAATCTTATCCTTTGAGTAAATTTTATTCTTAATTTTATTTCTTTCTGTTGCACTTAACAGTATAGAAGAAAATCAATTGCTTATACTTATTTTTAAGTCATTTCTGAAAATAAATTTGGAAATCACCTTTCTCCAAAATTTAAGAATCCATTTTATCAAGAAAAAATGAATACAGACCTGATTGCCTTCTCTTAAAAAGTATCTCTTCTCTATGACCTGTGAGAAACATAGATTTTTAAGGGCTTAGCACATATACTGGTAAAATATGGCTAACAGCAATGACCACCAATGGAATTATATATCCAAATTAAGAATCTTTTAGTACTCATAGTACCCATAGATATTTAATGCAATGAATTAAAACTAGTGATAGTGGGGACTCCTTGGTGTGCAAGCGGTTAAATTGCACATTATGAAGCTATCCATAGCCACTACACCACAAATTCAGTGCCCCTAGGGAGGTGACCCACATGGCACAGCAGAACTCTCCTGCCTCAACGCACTGCTCCCCTCAGCAGTGTGTTCTGGTTGACCCGCCTGTTCTGCTCCTGACTCTGTCTCTGGTGAATCCTCCTTACCACCCACATCTCTGGCCTGTACCCCAGTTCTTGTATGCATAAATAAATGAATCTTTGAAAAGAAAAAAGAAAAAAAAAACTGTTGCTAGTGAGATCAGGATTGTATTTGCAGACAAAGTTGCCTTTATAAACTATTAATGATAGATCAAAAAAAAAAAATAAACACAACTAAATAGACTAGCCTAACATAAGAAACATACAATTCCTAATGGCAAAAAACTTGACTATTTTATTTAGCAGTAAGTCTCAAAGTTACTGCAATAGGTATTTCACTACTACAATAACAGAGCTATTCCTTATGAGGAGTCTGTGTAATGCAGTAAACCTCACATTCCTCTGGTCCAATAAATTCATAGTTCCTCAATGGAGACAGATGACAGAAAACCAAAAGCAGTCAACTAGCTTCTTTTTCTGGACTTTATCTGTACCTTTAATTCAGTAATTTCAGAACTATCTGCCTTTGGTCAGCAGCAGAAGCAATGGATATATTTGCATAAATTCATCAATACTACTGAAAAGAAACCCTCCATATATAGGTCTTAACATATGAGTTTAAGAGTACCATGCTTTTCAGATGATAGGAAATGTTTTTAAAAATAATGAATTGTGTTCTAACACTTGAAAAATGCAATTTGTAAAGGCAGTATAATTTTCTTTACATTGGGCCATTGTGATTAAGAAAAATAAAGCAAAAATGAATACAGAGTAGTTGGATATTAAACTCTAAAAAACATTATAACCTAACATTGTATAGCTAACAGTTCCTCTCAATAAGGACAAAGCATCTTTTTCCAGGCCTGTGCCAGCCTGTTTTCACTGGCCTGATAGAGCCAAATCATTGACATTCTCCCTATCTCCAAGACAATGGTTAGATAACTACTTTCAGCCACAAATGACTTCGGGTAATGTTGCATTCACTGGTCCCAAAGGCAGAAATATTTATGCTACATTTTGTTAAGGTATGAAGTGCAGAAAACAGAGTGAAATTTAGCTGGCAGGTCCCTTGGTTTCAGGTTACCTTTTAGTCTGGAGGTCTGGCCAACCATCTAATCCACTTGCCTTTCGTTGTGATTTAGACAATGAAGAGAGAAGTTACCTTTTTGTTTTTTCTCAACTCAGTCAATCTGCAATAACCTCTTTCCAAACTACCTGCATGCTTTTTTGAAAAAATAACGTTGTACCTTTATAATATTGATAAGTGGTGTCATGCGCATCTATAACCGCTTGTTTCTCTAGGATATAACTTCTTACTCTTACTTTTTAATTTCAAAATTTTAAAAATTATTAATAATGTAAACAACATATTATGGGATCTTTCCATGTCAAACACAGACCTGTAATATGTGGTTCTTCATTGTTGGAATTTTGTATCACATTTAAACCAAACTGAAGTTCTTACATTCTAAATTTCAAAACAATGTGGAGAGAAAATCTGGTTCCTTGCTTTTCAACGTTTTTTAGATGATGGCAAAATTAGAATTTGCTGCTGGCCCCCTAGCCTGTGGGGCTGCCTCTCGTAGTACACCTGCACCCCAGGCGCTGCACACCACATAGGGACAGGTGTGGGGCTTTTCTCATGCTGACATATTGGACATAAAGGTCACATATTAGATCCTTAAAGAGCCAAAAGAAAAGTGATTAAAAAACAAGAATTATGAGGAAGGACATGTTTTTTGGGAGGCAAAACTGAAAGGGAAATATAATTATGAAAATTAGTATTTTTCAGTTGTAGAGGTATTTTAATAATATCTCCTCTTTTACTTTACTACACAATGTGAACATTGGGTAAACAACTTAAACTTAGTCAATACTACGTGCAATGTAGTCAGTCACTGTGAAGTCAAGGCTTGTGACGGAAAGACAAACAAATGCTCTAATTTCCCATTATGCTGAGTCATTCTACATTTTCACAGCAGTTCAGGAGACTAAGATACAAGCAAAGAGTCAATAATTGGAATACAAAGTTTTCTGATATGAAAACATTAAGGAATCAAGATGATATAATTTTAAAAGTAATAGCAATGCTTATGGGAAGAATATTAATAGCTATGAGAGCACAAGTACTCAAAGCTTTAACTCAGCAGAATCTTCTAAGTTTAGCGCTTTTGTGAGGACTACAGGGGGTGAGTAAGTACAAGGGGCCTAGAAAATAGGGAAGCATAAATTGTTTGAAGGAGGGGAATTAGGCATCTTTTAAAAAACCCCATTGAAATCCAGTAGCTTTCATCCCCTGCTTAGAGAACACTGGAGATAGAATCAATACGTCAGCAGTCCCTTGAGCAATTATGCCAACAGATAAGAGAGATCAAAACAAGTATTATTCAGGCTGTTAAGTTCAGGACTAAGGAAGAAAAGGACAAAGCATTCTACAAAGAATTTAAATCTCATAATATATAAATTAAGTTTAAAAATAACTTAATTGAAGCCATTACCTTATCAAAAAACCTACTGAGCTTGACAGCATTGGAAGAACCTGCAGCTAAGTAGCGTGAATTTGTGCAATCCTAAAAGATAAAACATAAGACTCATAATTAAAAGTCAGAAATATAAGCTCTTTGTTAGGTATTACTGTTCCTGTTGCATATTGCTATATAGTAAAATGTATCGGCATAATATAACATTCAACTAATTTGCATACAACAAAGAGGAAAGTGCTCATGAAAGATTAGGTCACAGACACTAATTTGAGCAGTTTTAGAAGACACTGAACCAATGTCAGTGACCAATTATGTCATCAATTATAGAAACAATTATATAATCAAGTGACTCATACAGGAAGACCGGACTACTAATATCCTACTAATAATAAGACCAAGATACGAATTAGGTGATCTACCTCCATTTACCTTGAAAAGCAAAAATTAAGTCACTGAAAACATTAACCATGCCAATTTTTAGTACTACTCTTCAGTGCTCAACTAAGTACTATGCAATTCCTTATAAATAGTAAGAAGCATGAAAATAAGGAATTTGAGGAGCAAAAAAAGTAGAAAATGGAATGTGATTTATATAGATAGGAAACCGGAATCAGAAGAACAAACAAGGAATTCAAAAACTTGTCAGGGATTTCTCATTCATTGACTGTAAGGAACTACATAAAGATAAACTATATGATAGATCATAATAAACAACAGATCTATTCTTGATATCAATAAATCATAAGCATATTGCTACTACATATCAATGTTATTTTTAACATAAAAAATAGAAATATTAAATAGGACTTTTAGAAATAGCAACAAAATGGGGCCCAGAAGAGAAAAAGCAATCTGTAACATTACAATTAAATGACTAGATTACAATAATTAGTAAAGATGTTCAAAAGCTTAACTATCCTTTTCCTGGAATTCCAGTGTTTTGTTGCCTTTGCTTGCCATCATTGACTTGCCTACCATCTCAAGAGATGGGGCACTTTTTTATCTCAAATGCCACCTGAGAACAAACTCTGAGAATATTACATAGGATCCTTCACAAGGACGTTTGTCTGTCAGTTGTAGATGTCTATATATCTTAGGATATTACTAGTTATTGTCAGTGCACTTCTTCCCTTTCCTCTCCTCAATTACATTCACTGCAGTGAAAATGGTTTACATAATTTTATTTGTTTTAGGAGCTATAGGCTCAAACCTCTACAAATGTAGGTTTTCACAACAGGTTGATCACCAAATTCCCAGTAACAGTCCATCATGTTCCACTGTACTCCTGACCCTTTTGTCCACACCCCCCACCAACCCCTTTATTCCCACGCCATCACCCTTCTCTTCTGGTTGCCTCAGTTTTGTAGTCAGATGTTATTGTTATTGTTTTGGTTTTATCTGATTCTTTGTTTTGTTTCTCTATACTCCACATATTCGGGACACTATCTGGTATTTGTCTTTCTCCTTCTGACTTACTAAACATAATTCCCTCCAGTTTCATCGATATTGTTGAAAAAAATAAAAAATTCCCCTTTTTTAAATAACTGAGTAGTATTCTATTGTGTAGATATACTCTATCTTCTGAATCTGATTATCTGTTTTGGGGCACTTAGGCTATTTCCATATCTTAGCTTTTGTAAACAGTGCTGCAATAAACAAAGGAGTGTATACATCTCTTCAAGTTAAATGTTATGGTGTTTTTTGGGTAGATACTTAGGAGTAAAATTGCCGGGTCATATGATAGGTCTAGTTTTAATATTTTGAGAAACCTCTGTACTATTTTCATAGACCAGTCTATGTTCCCATCAACAATGTACAAAGGTTCCTTTCCACTATATCCTCACCAACACTAGTTTCTGGTATTTTTGGTATGGCTGTGTGGTGTGGAGTATCTCATTGTGGTTTAGATTTGAATTTCCTTGATGATAACTGATGACTAGCATTTTTTTCATGTGCCTGTTGGCCATCTGTATATCTTCTTTAGAGAAATGTCTATTTAGCTCTTCTGCCATTTTTTTTGACTAAGTTAATTTTTTTCTTTTGTTGAGTTGCATGAGTTCTTTATATACTTTGGAAATCAGCCTTCTGTCAGATGTATGATGTGCAAATATTTTCATTTATTCTGTTTTGTAATCTCTGAGTCCACATGACTGCCTTCCAGTGAATTTTGTAACCACCTATTTTATCCATATACAATGTTTCAAGGTTCACATTTTAAATACTCCTTTGGAATTGTAGTTTCCAAAACCACCTTCCAAAACAGTCTACAACAAATGTGTTAATGGTCACAGGGTAACTAGAACAATCATAGGTCTTCAAAACCAGTAGACTTTGAATACTAGTGTCTGTCTCAACATTTTTAGATAGTGTGACATTGGATCAGGTTGCTAAACCTTTAAGGTTAAGTTTATTTATTTGGGAAACAGGTAATAAGGCTTAGCTCATAGGGTTTTTGTGAAAATGAGATAATACATATTTGGCACATAACAAGTACTAAAATATTAGCTACCTGCTCTCTTCATTCTAAAGAAATACTACCAGGCACAAAAGCTTATATATATCTTGGATCAGTTGAAACACCATCCCACAAACTGTTGTATTTGAAACACTATTTGAACACATTCATTTAGAAGCTGAAGTATATAAAAGATGAATTTTACACAAACCTGTGTTAGTTATGCTTTACAAAATTGATACTGATTACATAAGATATCAGAATGTTGAAAGACTTCAATGATGATTTCTAATAGTGCTAAAGTACTAAATACAAAAGCTAAATCAGACAGCAAAGAAAGAAAACTTTCCCCAAACTTATTTCTAAGGCTCCACAATTTCAGGTTGACCAGATTGGAGTCTCCATGATTTTAGGATAAGAATTTTGAAGGTGAAAGAGTCACCTTTATTGATTCTGGCTGAGAACAAATTCTGAAAATAAGTAGCTCTAAATAGCTTGTCAAGGTTGACAAAGGAATAAACCAGAGAAGATGCTTCAAAACGATCACTTTGAAGTGAACACATAGCAGGAAAATTTGTACTATGCTGCAATAGGCCTAACAGGATTAAAAAAAAAAAATCTTATTTATGTCTTACATAATTTGCCTTTTATACAGGCACAAGATGGATGGCAATTTTGATCCCACATTTGATGTATTTGTTATTTCTTACTTTTCTTTGGTTTTCAGTAAATTCATAGAATAACCAAAGATTCTAGCACTAATACTGTTACTTTTTTTTTTTAATTTTGAGGCTTTATATTTACTTGCTGAGCCTTTTTGATTACTATCTTTTTTTGAAATTCTTATCCATTTTTCCTCCTCATATTTTCTTCGCTGCATCCTCATGACTCTCTTGTTGGTTCTGCTATGTTCCTGAAGTTATACACTGATAAAAGAACAAAAAATGGAGGTGATGTGTGCCCAACACTAACAGAGTACCTTTACATCTTGTTAAGAATTAAAAGATGGCTCTATCTTTGCAAGCAAAGTAGGAAAAACATGCATTTACGTGACTGTCTCAGAAATTCACAGGCATTAAACAGATACATTCCAAAATACATTCATCACTGAAATAAGTTAAGTATATTCAATGGTAAATTCCCCATTGGAAATAATGTTCAAATGAACATTCATCTTCAACAAGAGTAATGTGTAGTTTATGCATCAAGGATCCTCCAGAATATCATGGTCTGCTATTCACATCTGAGGCATTTACACTGAACTTGCTAAGGTGGAACTGAGAAAAATTAGGTACCTCCACTGCAAAGTAAAATGTAAGAAATAATGACAGGCAGAACCTGGGGGTAAATGTGGGGGTGAAATAAGTGCTGTTTACAAATGGCGATTCACAGAACAAGGGCATGAATCATTTGTTAAAATGACAGAGCTGGGTCTTCCTGTGAAGAACTTATGAATTAAAAGCACCAGCTGTGGACAGTTATTCAAAAAATTTTCACAGGTACTGCTGGTACCAGGCAACTGTAGGTCTAGATGATTTCTAAGTGTTTTTTTTAGTTCTAAGATAGAAAATGTTAGCTGAAGGGTAATTAAGTGTAAATTGTCTTAAAGGTATAGCACAGGCTGTGGAGTTGGGGTGCCTTTTTGACCATGTAGGGTTGATGTGAAGACAATGTGAGATAATGTATATAGGCTAGAGCTTGGCATGTAGTAAGTATTTAGTAAAAGCTAGCCACAAGTATTAAGACACCACTACTAGCCCACATGTAGAATGCCAATGCACTGAAGATGTTGCAGAAATTCTACTTGTAAACCTTGACAAAAGCTGTTGGCTAGAATATTTCTCTGGACAACACTAACAGGTTAGATGGAGAATTTTTCTTAACCTTTTAACCACCTGGTTCTAACTGAGCTAAAATTCTTAGGGAGGGACTCAATCTTCTGTATATACATAGGTTTACAATAACTATGCTTAAAAATCACTCCTAGTTTATATTTTGTAATTTTCTCATTTACCCATCTTTAAGGTAAATTCTTCAGTTTAAGAAGTAAAGAGGCTCTTCCAAAGCAAAAATAATTAAGGTACAGTATTAATGGCCATTCTTAGCAATTTTGATTTTGGTGTGATTTTCAAAAATCTTCTCAAGACAAAAAACCCATGATTAACATTTTCATGGAACAAAGTTTGAACCTTCCAGTAGATACAGGGAGGCTGAAGTGACTGCCCATCTGGCAGTTTATGTTGATTCCAGTCTTCATTATATTTTGTGAGAGTACAGGGCTTGTGAAATCCTTGGTTTTGCCTTTTCCTGATAATATAAGCATTGCATTAGTGAAAATACACACCAAATTAATCTCTTCTGCATTGAAATCCTCTGCCAGGAAAGCAGTCCTAGTTAAAACTTCATGGCGCTTGGTTTCATGAATTTGGTCCAGTTTAGTCCCTATTACCAACAGTGGGATTTGGTTATCAGCAAACTGTTCCTGGTCATAATCCCTGTGAAAAAATAATGAAGAGTAGATTTACCATTCTGATGGAGATATATATTTAAATGTCACTAGCTTACCCTATATTTCTGGTATTTCACTGGCTCTTGCTTATCCATCTCCTCTAAATCTACTTTCATCCTTATATTTGTTCATTTATCAACCCATTCTTAGCATCTATTGAATTCTAATTATTCACCTAAACTACTCAAAATTGCTCGAGTAAAGCTTTCTAGATCACTTTAATAACTAAGTGCCCACCAGGCACACATGAGTAGGGTGGCTTGCTTTTTCCAAAGCTCCATTTTCTAAGCCTAACAGCTAAGACATTTTTCTGTATAGATGCAGTGAGTAGATTCAAATATCAGTGGAGGTTCAAATATCATGGCATTTAAGCCTTGAGCTGGATGGGGAAATGGCGAGTTCTGGATTCCTTCTAAGATACATGTTCTATATCTACCCTACACAGTTCTGGCTGTGAACAGTAAAGGATAGATCATTTCAGGGAAATGAGAAATAGGGATGCTGAAGACCAGCATCCTTCAAATATGTAAATGGTCATAAGTGATATTATAGCTTAGAGAAACATGGATTCTAAAAATGGAAAGGGAAGGAAAGAGCTATATTGCCAAAATAATACTAAAAGGAAAGAATTATGAGCCAAATAGTTGCTTGTTCTGAAATGAGAGTCATGGGAACAGAGAACAGGCAAGGGTTAGTGGCCCTGAGTCACTATTACAATTTTTTGTTTCTATTTTTACCCAAAGAATAGAGTGGTATTCCTTCTATTACTGGAAATAAAAGAGTCCAATGTTGTTAAGTCAATTTAAATCCTAGTCGCATTGAGGAATAAAACAGATTTGGATTTCTGATACATTATAAGCTCAATTTGCAAGTCCTTGTAAAATTCTTTTTTTGATTGGTTTTTGCCGGCAATTCATTCTTGCTTATTTCGTTGGTTCCGGCCCATTTGTTCTTGTTTTTTTTTTTTATTTCCTTTCTCTCTGAGTAATTTAAGTTGGGGGTGTATGTATGTAAAATTACAAAATCCTTTTGCCTTTCAGAGCTTTAATTAATAACTGTTCAGCATTGAGACACAATTGTTTTAAGTTACTAAAATATTTTTGCCTTTCAGAGCTTTAATTAACTGTTCAGCATTGGAACCCAATTGTTTTAAGTTACTCTCCCATTTAATAAAAATATATCATTCTATTTATCACACCAAAGCCAATAACTGCTTGAGTTCAAGGTCTTCAATTTGTTTTACCAGTATCAACCCTAATCCAAAATTAAAATGTACTTTATCAGACAATAGAGTTTTGAGAGTGTCCTATTTTAGGACTATTTATTTTCTTCTATATTCACTAATTCTGGCCCATATAACATTTTTCTGTAGGGTATTTTATCAAATATCATCTTTGCTATATATATATACTTGTCACTTACATCCGTATATAAGTGCATACGTATTTATATATATAGTAGATAAGTAACAAAACATATATATGTTGCCATATATAATTTGTCTTCTTATTTCTTCTTAACTTTCCTTTTTTCTTACTTTGATTAAGTCTTATATCCAATTTGAAATATGATGGTGATAATTCCTTTTAACCACTAGGTGAAAAATGGATGGGATTTTTTATCATGGTTAAGTATGGATAATAGCATTTTAACACTATAAGGAGACAGACAGTATTATGTTATATACAAAATATTACTTTGGGGGAAAAAACCACCTGTGTCTTTCAGATCAGTATATTTAACTATACTGTTTTAGACAAGATTTATGAAACAAAGTTAATAGTCTCTAGGGGGTATAGTCAGCAACAAATGAACTATGGGAAACTACAGGAGGAACAGACTATTTTGTTTCATAAATAAACTGCTGGAAAATTAAAAAAAAATGAAGAAGAATTTAAGATTAAGAGAAACTTAAGAAGCCAAATACAATGAGTAGATCTTACTGAACTTTTTTGAATAAATCAACATTCATGAGATATCTGGAGAAATCAAATTAATAGCTGATATTAAAGAACCATTATTAATTTTTAAGTGTGACAATTACATTTTGGTTATGTTGAAAATGTTCTATCCTTTAAACTTATACATTTAAGCAGACATTTTGTGTTCATGGATTGGAAGATACAACAAAAACTTCCAAATTTGGTCTATAAGTTTAATCCAATTCCAATAAAAATTCAAGCAGATTTTTTGTCAAACTAGACAAACTTGACTGATGTGGAAAGGCAAATGAACTAACACAGCTAAACAATTCTGAAGATGAACAATGTGGAAGGAATCACATTGCCTAATTTGAAGACTTAACACAATGCTATAATAATCAAAACAGTGCAGTTAAGACACACAGGTCAATGGGACAAAAAGAGAGTCTAAAAAGAGACCCAAATAAACAAGGTCAAATGAATTTTGGCAAAGGAGTATAAGCAGTTCAAGGGAGTAAGGATAATCTTTTTAGATGGTAATATAACCACATTCTAATTATGGATGAATATGGATGCTAACACTTTAATATTACAAGGAGACAGACACCCTGGTATTACATTATACACAAAATATATATTTTTTGGAAAAAAAACCACCTGTGTCATATACAAAAGTCAATCTCAACCAAAACATCATACATTATAACTAACTCAACATGGATCAGATCAAAAAATAAGTCTAAAGCTCTGAAACCTGTATCATCTGGGATTAGGCAGAGTTCTAATACATGATACCAAAAGCAAAATACATAAAAAATTGATGTTAACTTTTATAAAAATGAAAAATGATTACTTTTGTGAAAGATACTGTTATGAAAATGAAAAGTCAATCTACAGAATGGGGGAAATATTTACAAATTAAACCTCTTATAAAATGTCATTTTGGAGGGTACATTATTGTGATTGCTATAACATTTCAAGCCAATTGTGATGCAATCTGGCCTTACCCATTTGTTACTAAGACTCCAGTTGGTACCAAATCCCTGTTGAGAGCTTCCAATGACCAACGATACAAATTTTGGGATGACTTCTTATTTGTTAAGTCATGTACTAAAATAATACCTAAAATAATCAGAGAAAATAATGTCAATATTGTAACAATTCTCCATTTCACAAGTGGCAAAAAGAGACTGTAAATACAAGCATCAGGTTTGCGCAATGAACCCGGCATTCTAGTGTAAACAAACTAAAATATAATTATTTTAAAATTTCTTCTAAAAGTTCAAACAAATAATTACAAAATTTTCTTTGTCACATATGAACTTTGGAGATTCTACAAAGGGTGACAAAATGTCATTAAACTTTTAGGTTTCTTTGTCTTTTTCATTCAATACCTCAGAAGTGCCTACACTCTTTAGTTCTAGTTGCAGAGGTACCACATCAATAATAAGACCAGAACTACTCCAAAGATAGGAGAAACCATATTTATTGAAAGAGTTAATTGTTTCTGCACTGTTGTTCTTGATATTGAAATATTAAATAAAATGTAGTAAGAGGTATTTTACCTAGATGCAATTGTTATTTTTTAATGTACAAAATGTTTTAAAATCACCTGGGCCTAATCATTTCAAAAAGCTAATTTTTAATTCTTTGATTATTGGTTAGCTATGTAAGCTTGCTACCTAAGAAGAGATTTTTATAGAGCAAAAAAAATGTGCCACTTCAGAAAGCAGTAGGAAGATATCAAGAAATATGAATAGTAGAAAATAGACTTTGAAGAGACTGAGATAAATGACAAAATGGAATGATGCTCAGAAATACAATTAAATAAACTCAACATCCAATACAGAAAGGCAAAGCAGGTCATTATTACAGTAATGTAGACAGAGAAGAGAAGACTTGAATGCTAGCAGAGCTTAGGATAAGACCTATAGGTTTCATATCCTCAGGTCTTCCCTATATTACCCATTTTCTACTGAAGAAAGAATGTGAAACTGATGACTCCCCCATCTTTCAGATAAGGTATGTCAATTTGAAAAGAGAAGGGTTAGAACTACTCGGCTTCTCTAGTTTTTACTGACATGTGGGCAACTAAGGTGCTTTTACAAGTTATAGTTGACTTGTTCCAGCTAGCTCTGATAAATCTGCATTTCTCTTGGTATCTAGAACAGTGAGCTGACACTCACCCCCATACCCAATCATATTCTACCTTCTCAGTGAAGGGTTCTACTAGACATCTGGAATGCAAGATAGAGGATAGATTTTTAAAAAGGAATAAAGAGCTGCTATTAAAGAATATAGCTGACATTTACATAGCACTTAAGTGCTACATATTCTGCTTTACATGTGTCAACCAATTTGATTTTCAGAATGACCCTATGAGGTAAGAATTATTATCTCCATTTTATACATGTGGAAATTCAGAGAGGATGAGTAATCTGCCCTAACACATAGTAAGTAGGGGAGCCAGAATTTGAACTCAGTTAATCTAAGTGTTAAAGTGTGGAAAAAAGCAAACTAAAGCCTCATTTTAGGGGAAAGGAGTAGGAGCTATTTCCCAGGTAGAATTATCATAAAACTATGGGTAAGACCTTTGGTACGAGAGTGAAAGGATTATAAGAAAACTTAGACGAGCTATTAGATGGATAGGGAATAGTTTATTTTTCGAGACTAAAGGCTTTAAAAATTTTTTTTTTTAAAGATTTATTTATTCATACAGAACTGGGGTACAGGCAGAGATGCGGAGGGTGAGAGGCTTCACCAGAGACAGAGTGGGGAGCAGAACAGGCAGATCGACGAAGTACACTGCTGAGGGGAGCAGCGGGCGGGCAGGAGAGGTCTGCCATGCCATGTGGATCTCCTCCGAGGCAGGCGGGAATCGAACACATGTAGAAGTGGCTTAAGCTTCTTAATGCAGTGCTTTAACCCGCTGCGCCACCAAGGAGGGCCAAGGCTTTAAAACTTTTAAGGGCATTTAATCACTTCTTTCCTTCTCCCACTTTTATTTGTTCTGAGAGTTTTTGCTTTCTAGTCTATGAACAAAAAGGACCACACTAGGGTCCAGAGTCAAGGTGATGGCTGGTCAGACTAAGTTCTAATCTTAAAAGAGAGGAGTAAACACACTTTACTGACTGGGAATTACTCATCAACTAGGAATGAGATAGGATATTGAGGGAAGAAAGTGATTACTAAGAATAAAGACTATGCATTTGAATAATGTGATCCTTATGCTTTGTTTTGTCTGAAACTAAGGATGGCTGAGAGAACTAGAAATTGATTTTTCTAATGTACCACTTTTTTTAAAAAGATATAGGAATGTATCTCAGTTTTATCTGTAAAACTAAAAGTCTATATAATTATTTCATTAAGATTCAAGAAAGAGACAAGTCACTAAAGAACAGTAACTATAAAAAAGATAAATATGACTTTAGATGGATTCAAAGGTATTTACATTTATTATTTATTTAACTTTATTATTTATTTATAACTTTTCAGCTCTTTCTCAAAAATATCTAAATAGTAAATGTTATATTTCCAAGCTTTTCTTTTTCAGATCAGGTTGCTTATCAATTTGACAAATTATCTGGCTGATATAACCCAGCAGTATCATTTGATTCTAGGTCTAAGTAAGGCTTCATTTTTTTTTTGTTAGTCTCTAAAAAGTCACCGAACACAATGTTAGTCTTACCTTATTATAGTCTTTCTCATTTAGATACAGGTATCAATGGTTTAGTCCCTGAATACAGAGTAGGCAATGTGAATTACAACATATCTTCTATCTGGATATCTCTATCTGGATATCTTTTCCAAGTATTTGAAGATCTACAACAGGATGAAATTTCTGCACCCACAGGCAGCTCTTTAGAATTATAATGAACTTTTCTAAGGGGCAGATGAAAGAAATTTCTGTATCTCTTGAACATTTGGCTCAGTCTATGGGACTCCTAAGGTGGTCTACTATATTTCCTAAACTTAATGGCAAAACAACACTCCAGGGGACAGTGTTTTTGAAAGTTCTATGCTTTATGTCATGCACCAAAACACAATTTTCCTCAACATATATATTATGGTAAAATGTAAATAGGAATATGCAGGCAAAGCAGATATTTAATACGAAGAATTAGGTTGTATAAATCTAGAAACAAAAACCACAGTGTGATATGTAGATTTGAAATGGTAACTGTGAGTATATTAGCTCTTTCTTAAATTGAGTCTGGCATCCCAACGTACTCCATATTAGATAATCTATACTCCAGTATCATTAATATGTGGTAGAAATAAAAAAAATACAGAATTACCATTTACAGAATTGTAGAATACTGCTCTTGTGCTTTTCACACTGCTGGCACTGCCCACAGAGCCTCCAACATCCCATAATTCTATATAGTAGGTCTTTTCTTCTGGTGTTCCTTCTTTGTAGTCATGAACCTAACAAATCAATCCATCAAAACAATTACTCTACCAGTAAGAAAACTGGCAAGCACGCTCATTCCAGTTTAGAACACTGGACATTCCATCATTCCAAATCAGCCTACTCTCTCTCTGATTACCTCCAATCTTTCAAGTTTCCTCCCTTTAATACTCAAATGCTAATATTAATCTTTGACCTGACAGGACTCTGTAGTTAACTGACGCTAACAACTTAAATAGCTCTCCATTTTACTTCCAAGTCCTCACTTCCTAACTAAGCAAAAATTCCATAATTTGTCATTTTAGTCACTCCTGTGCCCCTCTATCTACTGTGCTCATCTAACTAAATTTTCACATCCACCTTTCTCCCAACTTCATGTCTGCAACCCACCTAGCTAAATAGTGAAGCTCAGAAACACATTAAACACATTAAAGTTGGCTGAATTCATTTTAAATTCAAGTGTACATTTGGGTTTGTCCTTCAGTCAGTTCCAGTCCATTTTCTATTTTCCTCTCACAGACACTTACTCCTCTTATTCAAACTTACAGTTATCTCTTCCCTTACCTCAGACACAGTTAAGAGCTTTGCTTCATGAGACAGAAGAAAGAAATCAGAAGAGAATCTATACAACTAGTTCTTCCCATATCTATCTACCTCCCTGAAACTGTATAATCTGCCTTCCTACCAGCTATTACAGTTAGGCTGGTCTGTGTCCTTAAGGCCAAATCCTCTTATGTGTGACATCTCATCTTTTTCTTATCAAAGATGTAGCTCCCTTATATCAGTGAATTTACCTTTCTGTTGGTTAATTCCCACTAGTATACAAACATGCACAATTTTTCCCCTCTTGAAAATTATCTTCCCAGCCCTCCCTGGTGGTGCAGCGAGTTAAAGCACAGCACTAAGAAGCTAAAGCCACTTCAGCATGAGTTCGATCCCTGCCCGGAGGTGATCCACATAGCGCAGCAGACTTCTCCTGACCCGCCCACTGCTCCTTTAAGCAGTGTACTTGGTTAGTCGGCCTGTTCTGCTCCCAGCTCTGTCTCTGGTGAGTTCTTTCACCGCCTCTGCACCTCTGGCCTGTACCCCAGTTCTGTATGCATAAATAAATAAATCTTTAAAAAAATTATCTTCCCTGGGCCCTCCCTGGTGGCACAACAGGTTAAGATGCAGCACTGCAAGCTGGCTGCAGTCACTTCAGTGTGAGTTCAAGTCTCAGCCCCAGAGGTGGCCCACATGGTGCAGCGGACCTTCTCCTGACCCGCCTGTTGCTCCCTCAGCAGTGTACTTCATTGATCTGCCTGTTCTGCTCCCCCCTCTGTCTCTAGTGAAGCCTCTTGCTGCCCCTGCACCTCTGACCTGTACCCCAGTTCTGTATGCACAAATAAATAAATCTTAAAAAATAATTATCTTCCCTTTACCTCATGTCCTCCTCTAGTTGCCATGCTGCTGCTCTCTTCCTTTTCTTGGCCAAAGTCCTGCAAAGAGTAGTCTATACTCAGCTGCCTCTGATTCCTTTTCTAACACTGTCCCTCTCTTTTTTCAATTGACTAAGCTCTTTTAAGTTTTCTTACCTTGTTCTTCATTTTGGTATAATATTTGGTTTCTCCCTTCAGGTGTAGTGCCTATAAGTCTCCTACTACCACATTGCCTGTGAACCATAATCATAGATTTTAGACTCTTCCCACATTGCCTGTGAACCATAATCATAGATTTTAGACTCTTCCCACCTGTTTTGACCCCTTTACCTCTCCCTCCCCTGCCATATGCCTCTCTTTTGAATTCATACCTGTCAAACTTTTCCCAGTTACCTCACCCAACTATTCATTACCAAAGTCATGAGTAAATGTCCATTATCACTAAAGACAATGATCACTAAACAATTTTTATCACAGTCTCACTATTTGTCACAATGAGTCATTCTTTCTTCTTATAACAACTTCTTCACTTAGCTTCCAGGGTATCACTCTCCTACTTTTCTTCCCACTTTACTGGCTAACCTTCTCAGTCTCCAGTTGGATCTTTCTGACCTCTAATTGTTGGAGTGTCATAGGCTTAGTTCCTCACCTCTTTTGTTCTCTATCTATATTTGCTCTTTTGGCAACTGTATCTTAAGATTTTAAATGTCATTGTTAATGTTGATAAATTCCAAATTTATATCCATCCTGACCCAGTCCCTTGAATTTCAATCTATCATATCTAACAGACTACAATTTGAATATCCAAGAGGTACTGTAAACAATATTTTCTAAAAATAATTTCCTGATCTTCCTCCCCAGCCTGTTCTCTCAGCTTTCTGTCTCAGTAAAAGGCAACTCTCTCCTTTTAGTAACTTGAAGCATACAAAACTCAAGACTGATCCTTAATTCATTAATTCATGACACACATACATGTCTGCAAATCATGATGTTGAATTTTGCATCTAACATTGTTTATGTCTCACCATCTCCATTATTACCACCCAGACCAATGCCTCTAATTATCTCTGTGCCTGGATTAATGTAACTGCCTCCCAGCTGATCTGCCTACTAGAATCTTGCCTGTTCACACCTTTCCACTTCATCACTTATTTTCCCTTAAGTAGCTAGAGTGATCCTTCTGAAATGCAAGTTTAAAAAAACAAAATGCAAGTTAGAGCAAATCATCCTGCTACTCAAAACCTTTCTTAGGATAAACTCCTTTTCTCACAGTCTTACCTCTAATGGCACTGATTCCTATACTATATAATTATTCAGAAACAAATCCTAGTATTTGGCAATCTTGTTTATTGGAATATAGCTAAAATGATGGTTCAGGAGTATACATTAGAATCTTGCAAAAATTTGTTTTGATACATGCACGCCAACAAAAGCAGAAGTAAACATGAGAATACATCAAATGAGAGAGCTTCTATAGCAAAGGAAACCATCAACAAAATGAATGAGACAAAATATCTTCAACTCATATCTGGTAAGGTGTTAAATTCAAAGTATATCAAAATTTCATACACCTCAGTAGCAAATCGAAACAATTATCTGATTTTAAAAATGGACAGAGGTTCTACATAGATACTTTTTGAAAAATGACATGTAATGGTGGAAGGTGCATGAAAAGGTGTTCACCATTAATTATGATCAGAGATCTACAAATCAAAACCATAGTGAGATAGCACAGCACACCTATTAGAATGGTCATCATCAAACAGGTAAAAAAATACAAGTGTTACAAAAGTTATGGAGAAATACAAATCCTTATGTATTGTACATAGGACTGTAAATTAGTACAGACACAATAAAACATTGTATGGAGGGTCCTGGAAAAATTAAAACTAGAACTACCATATGATCTAGCAATCCCATTTCTGAGCATGTATTCAAAATAAATGAAAACAGGATATTGAAGAAATTATCTGCACTCCTATGTTAACTGTAGCATTATTCACAGTAGCCAAGAAATGGAAATGACCTAAGGCTCTATTAATGCTTGATGGAAGTAAATAAATAAACAAACAAAAAGAAAATCCTGCTATTTGTGAGAACTTGGAAAGCCCCTGATGGAAATATGCTGAGTGAAATAAGCCAAATGAGAGAAATACTGTATGATATCACTTATATGGGGTAAAAAGTCACTCATAAGAACAGAGTAAAAAAGTGGTTGCCCAGGGGATGGTGTGGGAGTGGGGGTGGAGAAACAGGGAGAGGTTGGTAAAAGGATTCAAACTTCCAGCTATAAGGTGAATAAGGCCTGAGGATCTATATTATAACATAGTGACTATTGTATAACATTGGTGACAATATACCTGATGACTATAAAACTGTACTGTGTAACTGAATAAAGCTAAGGAATAGAACATAAATGTTCTCACAAAAAAATTAAAATAAAACAAAAATAAATATATAAGGTGATGGTGCCAATTGGTTGGAAGGGATCCTTTTACAATGTGTATATATATCAAATCATGATAAAGTACACTGTAAATATACAATTTGTGAATTATGCTTAAATATAGCTTAAACAAAGAGGCTATCCCTAAAAAAAAACACACAATTAAATATATATGTCAGACTCACTGATTCAGGATTTTAAGGGTTCAGTCCTAGGCATGCATATTTTGAATAAGTACTCAAATGATTTTGCTGTAACCCACAATTAAGAACTATTGCTTTTAGGTGGCTTTTTCTGCCCACTTGTGTCTATGCAAGAGTCTTCTTTCCTCCTTGTCTTATAAATCTGCCTTTGGGTTCCTATGAGCTGGCCACTCATGGGCAACTGTGACCTATTTGCTACCTGCCAGTCACTACAGAGCATTCTTGACTACCTAGGGAGTATAGCCCGTGTCATGAGGCAGGCCCAGGGATGCCTAGGTTGTTGTTGACCTAATTATCTTCATGGTGGTCCTGGGGTAACTGTGCCTGTGATAACATCATATTTTGCTGATGAAGTGTCTCTTGATGCATGATGGCGATGTCCCCTGCAAAATTTTGTCTTCCCTTTCTAACCCATCTTCTGGACCTTATTCCTCCCTCATACCAATGTCACATGATCAGCCTTTACCAGCCTGTATACTTTTCAATAAAGGGCACTAGAACTTCTTCTCAAGTAGCAGAGTCTTGCCTTGCAAACCTGCTCCACAACTGTGTCCAGATGCAAAATGGCAACAAAGTTCCTTTTGCAACACCTGCCCTTAAAACAGACAAAAAACAACTAACGATTTTATAGCACAGAACATGATTTGTAATCAGGAGGCCTAGGTCATGAGACTCAGTTGCCACTAAGTATACCTGGTATCTTTGAGCCTTAGTTTCCTTGCCTATCAAATGGAGTTTTTATCATATGTATTATATGCCTTTGAAATAATGAACAAAATAAGCTTGGTAAGTAAAGTAGCCAAGATTGGACCAAGTCAAATTGACTCACTTATCTATACTCTTGGCTACCTCAAAATCTCTTTCCTAATCAATTTTTTTTTCATGTTTATCCAGAATTAGAAGAGAAGTTGTCCTTTTTCCTTTCTAACTTGCTCACTAATATTGTCTAA